CCATCTGCTAGCTGAAGGCGGAACTGTGCTCTGTTTCAGGGTAGTAATGGCGCTTAGGATCTGGGGATGACTGTTCTGGGCAAGGAGCCTGAGTGACCAGAGACAACGGCCACCGAGGGCATCCTTTGCTGTAAGTTCTCTGGAGACTTGGGGCGTGGTGTTTAGGTTGTCAGGGGTTGGGGTGGCATGGGGTGGGGTGGGGTGCAGAATGGTGTGGGAAGGTGGTCTCTCCCTCAGAAGTGGGGGTGGAGAGTCAGGGAGTGAGGCTCCCTTTCTGGCAACTGTCTGTGGGATGATGATTGTTTACACGTTGCTGAGGCCAAGGTTCAAAAGAATGGAAAGATGCTCTTCCACTCAGCCCATGTGGAAAACATTTATCTTCCACTGGAAACCTTGCGTGAGAACAAGAGTCAACCTTGCAGAATACTTTCAGGCCCTGCATCAAGTTCTGTTCCTGCCTTTCTCAGTTTTTTGCTAATAGAGCAGAAGGAGACTTCCCAATAGAATCAGAAAAGCCAGTTTCCTAGAGTGGATTCAAAGCAAAATGGTGGCATTTTCTTCTCCACGTCTCCATTTCTTCTCCATAGTCGCCCTAAGCCAGCAACTTGTTCAATTGCACACATTCTTCAGCAAAGTCATACATTAAAACCCTAAAGCCCAATGTGGCCATACTTGGAGACAGGGTCTCTGAGGAGGTGATTAAGTTAAATAAGTTCATAAGGGTGGAGTCCTAATTGAGTACGACTGGTGGTGTCCTCATAAGAAGAGGAAGACACACCAGGGATGCTCAGATGCAGAGAAAAGACCACGTGTGGACAAGGCAAGACGCAGCTGTCCACAAGCCACAGGGAGAGCTCAGGACAAACCAGCACTTTGATCTGGACTTTCAGCTTCCAAGACTGTGAGAAAATACATTTCTGTCGTGTAAGCCACCAAGTCTACAGTATTTTGTTACAGCAGCCCTGGCACGCTGATACAAGGATATATTAAATAAAAAAAATACCAGTTGAAACAAACAGCACAGTGATGGGATAAAAAACTGAAGTATGAGTGGGCCAGCTGGAAAATCATGGGGTGGAACGAGATCTCCTAGGAAGCAGAGGAAAAGGTTTGAGATACAGCAAAAAAAAAAAAAAAAAAAAAAAAAAAAAAAAAACACCAAAATACACAAAGTAGGTGTAGAAATACCATCTTCCACATAAAAGCATCTTAAGTCTAGGTAAAATAAAAATATAGAGGAGGAATATTTGAAGGAATAATGGAAATGCATTTCCTATAACCAAACTAAAAGTATCTGGGATGAAAGGGCTCACAGAATGCCAAATAGGAGAGGTAAGATAAATCATAGCAAAATTAAGAATATCTGAAAAGTTTCCAGAGATGCAACAGATCATCCACAAAGGAAAAAAAAAACAGACTCACCTCAGACATGCATTCCTCTCCTGGACGTGGATGACCTATACTTCCTATCTCAACTTTTTTTCTGAAGACTTGATTTGAAATTTTCTATGTCTGTCTTGACACATGGACTCTTTGTTTTAAATCTTATTTTCGATACCATCTCCTTTCCAGGAGAATCTGGTATGCTCAGTGTTTTCTAATCATGATCTTCCAATCCTAACTTGCTGCCTTCCTTTCTGTCTGGAATGTTCTGCTTACTATTTATTAAAGACCCAAATCTGCACCATCCTCATGTTTGAAATTTTTTCTTACACTGCCAATCCCCCAAATACCATCTTTTTGGGAAGTCTGGGACAAATTCCATTTGATTTTTCTCATACCCTGCTATGGGGTGTGTGGGGTGGGGGAAAGAGGGAAGGGGAAATATTGGGAGGTGATAATGGTGTCTCCACACCACAGGGATTCAGAGATTAGTTCTATGAAAGGCCTTGCTGAGTGATGGCCCCTGAGCGCTATTTATAGGACTAGAAAGGCAAAGGCTGCAGGAGGAGAAACTTCTGCATCTGGCTGAGGGGGGAAGAGACAGAGAAACAAGGCACAGGGGACGAAGAGTATGAAGGGGAGGGAGACCCAGAGGTCAGGACTGGCCTGTCAGCATCAGGACACAACATGGAATCTTTTGTTCCTAGAGGGCTTAGAGTCTGCCCAGCAACATTGTGTTTCGATTCTTCACAGGTTTTGTGATCTGAGATTCCCAAGAAACAGCCACAGGTAATGGCAGGGAGATGGGAGAGGCTAAGCCATCGGTGGCAATAGGCAAGTGACGGTTTGAAGTGACTGTTAGGACTTGCAATTATGGTGGTGGGGTTCTGAATTATGAAAACCTGGATATGAATTTTTTTATAAAATTACTGTCATTTAATTTCAATTCTGTTAAAAAAGTAATGTACAAGGGGGAAAAAATCTACAAATATACCAAAACACTATCAGCAAATGTGTTAACTAACATAGTGTCGGGACAGGAAGGACACAGTGCAGGTTTTCTGATCCAGCAGACCGGGTAAAGGAGGAATCAGAGTCCTCAGTGGCTTTTGCAGGTCTTTTATTGGGATTTACCCGGTACACAGCAGGCAGGGGTGCTGGGGGACTGGGAGGCTGGCAGGCCTCCCAGCCCCCAGCAAATCCTCACTCTGTTTGGGCTCTCCGGCGTTCTCTCTGCTTCTCTTCTTCTTCTCTCGGCTTCTCTGCTTCTACTGCTTCTCTTCTCTTGGCTTCTGTTCATTCTTGGCTTCTGCTGGCGTCCCGGCAACGCCCTTATAAACTCAGTCTCTCAGCCCAGGCGCACCCACTTCAGGTGGCCGCCATCAGGCATGCATTCAGGACCACAGGGTTCCCTCATCTATCCTAATGGCGGGAGGGCAGAAAAGCCTGACACTTTCTCCTTACCCCACATATAGTAACATATTTGGGTAGTAATATTGTGGATTATTTATTTTTTTAAATATTTGTATGTTTTAGACTTCCTAACTTCTCTATAACATTAATCTTAACAGGAAAAAAGTATTTGATTACTTTTATATTTAATCCTATATGTTTCTTTAAGCTTGGATTCCACCACTGAGTTGCCTGGGTATTAATATTGATGTGACTTCATTTGTACCCACAGGTTAGTGGGAATGTGGGAACATTTCAGGTAGGTTTGTTAAGGTTGTCTACATGCAGGCAGTCTGCTGCAACAATTGCCTTGTAAGCTCTTCCAGGGCAACTATTTATTGTGCTATATCGATGAAATTGTATAGGGGTTTGCTATAAGTTTGATGCTGGGGTACTGGAGGCTGTGCAAGATGTAGGTGCAGGTAATAAAGTTGGATTGGGAAAATGAGGAAAACTATTTTTACATGGGTGCAAAACCTTATAGGAACCAAATCCGTAAGATTCTGTTGTGCGTTTCGAACATTTGGGAAACAAGAATCTAGCCATCAGTCAATATACTGCTGACCTAAATTCTTCATCTCCCTGCTCTTTCAGGTTTGAAGAGTTTGTGAAATCAGCTGTAAATCCTGTAAAGTCAAAGCCTGTGCGTTGCAGCCTCACTGGATTGCTTCAGAACGTCAGACTGTAGTCAAATTAAAGGCAGTTTCTTTCTGTTTTCAAAGAACGTGCCATGACTAGGATCAGAAAAATCATCTTGATCCTTGCTTATGTGGTTCCAAAGGCTGGACTTGTATGTTGCGGATGATTATTGGACAAATGGGAGAAAGAGAAGGGGGAGGCAGCGCAAACATGGGTGCCAGAGGAAAGCGATGGACAGAGCTATCAGGCATGGTGTGGCAGAAAGAACAAGGATTTCTAGCCGTCTCAGACAGCTAGGAGGCGTTGCACAAGATCCTTAGGGTCGCTGGGCCTCAGATTCCTCTCTGTAAAACCAGGGGGTTGGATGGAATTATTTATGGCACCTCATGGCTCTGACACCAGGCACTATTTATCAATCCTCAGCCCAGAGTCTTCCCACATTTCCTTGGATTAGATGGAAAATTCCTCTCCCTTGCCGATAAAACACCTATTGATTTTTTTTCCCCGTCTGGCATAGGGGAGTGAGACAGCTCTTTCTTTCTCTGAAGACAGAGATAAAGCAAAAAAGCAAAGGCAAATTACCCCTGTAAAGCAAATTACCCCGTACCCCTCCCCTCTTCTTTGATGCTGTAAGGTTCAGGCCAGAATGCTAACCAGCATTTGTCCCCAGGTGGTGACTCATGCTCCTCAGATCTTAGAAATGTGCAGTTGGAAGGTTCTGACAGCCCGTGCAGTCCTCTCTACACTGAGGAAACAAAGCTCGCTAGATGGCAAGTGACCCTGAACTAGGCAGTGATGAATAAAGCCTCGACGGACATCCAGGATGCGCGGAACTCAATGACGCTTCACCACAGAAACCATTCCAGGACGGCTTATTATGGGCTGCTCGGATAACATAATTGGCCCCTTATTTAACGACGATTAGATAATCCTGCTAGCGTCTTGCATGTCTGATTGGAGTTTACGTGAACCTCAATTAAGCCATCAGGCAGGCTTTCCCGCACCCAGCGCGGCTTCCGGCACGGGGCGTCCCCCACCCTTTGTAAGGCGACGCGGCCGATGATTGGCGGCTTCGGCAGCCAGCCAATGGCGAGCCCGGGGAGGCGGGGCGGGGCGTGCGGGGCGTGGCGTGGCGTGCGGGGCGGGGCCTCGGGGAGGCGCGTGGGCGGTGGAGGGCTACGCGGGGGGCCGGCGCTGTTGCCGTGGTTACCGCACGCCGGCTGCTGCTGCAGAGCTGTAAATACCGTCTCTGACCTCCCTCCGCCCAGCAGCCAGGGTGCCGTCTTGGAGACTGGCTAGCACGTCAACGCCACCTCGGGGCCTTGCGACAGTGTATGATTTTAGGGCTCTCGTTTCGACTCTGGCCAAGCGCGTGAGTGTCTGTGCAAGGCTTCCCGACAGGCCTCGGATGGATGTGGCTCAAAGAGAAGCTGCTTTCCCGGCCGCTGACGTGCTTCCCGCAAGAGTCCAGAGTCGTGATGTGCTGGCGCTCGGGTGGGGGTGGGGGTGGGGGTAGAAACACCTGCTTCTCGTGTCCTGACAGGGCCCATGATCGCCCAACTGGACAGCGACGGGGACACACGTGCCACCTCCTCCAGCAATGATCCCAGCATCGTCCACTCGGCCCGGGATGCAAGGGAGAGGGAGTCCTCCTGGAGTCCAGGGTTCCAGAAAACCCTGGAGCTGGGGTGCACACAAGGACGGCCACGCCCCACTGCACCCCAGGGCGTCGCCCCCAGCCTCCGGCTTGCTGAGCCTCTCTAGAGGATGGGCCTACTGAATGGGGTGGACCAAGACCCAAGTGCCAAGTATTCAGTGGGCTTGTTGGATCACCTGCCTTTCTGCATCTGTGACTCTGCTTGCCGCCCCCCGTGGAGAGGACTGCACAGCTGGCCAATCAGGGTGCAGTCGTCGCTAATATTCTTTCCCCAGATCATTCACAGACGTCACAATCCCTGTTCTCATGACGGAAACCAGGACAAACGCACATGGCATGATTAACCTCCATCTTCCAGCAAAGCAGAGAATGAAAAGCTGAAAGTAAAAATGAACCCTTTTGTTAAGGTCAGTCCTCTCCTTAAGTGAATAAAATTCTCACCTAGGACTTGTCTTCAGTCTTAAGAGGGACCACTGACAAAGTATGAAGACACAGACCAACTTATGACTTGCATCAAGTAGAAAATGGACCCATTTGAAATATAGCAATTTTGTAATCTTAATTTCCGTAGAAGGCGATTGTAGGTTAGAGTAGGAAGGGGCTGGAAGGGCAGGAATCTACACCGGAGGCCTCTGAGATAAGGTAGATGAACTTTGTAGTACACTATACCGCCTCGCATTCCTACGCTTTACAAACAATGCTTTCATCTTTACCTCTGTGCTCAAAACACTAAGATGATGCCTGGTTTTGCCCTAAAGTACTGAAAACACTAGCTCCTGCCTCTGCAATATGAGAACAGATCTCTAATTAGACCAATCAAAACCGCTGTGTTGGTCGGTTTCCCTGCTTAGCCCTGCCCACAATACCTTGCTCTCATCCATGTAACTCTTTCCTAGCCTGCAAATCCAACATTCCCATACACATCGGGTCAGTGCCAGTTCAGCCCTTACCTGCATTTGCCTCATTAAGTACTAGTATAAAGAGCCTTTCAAAGGTGATAGTTTTGTCCAGTCCTGGGTAACAGGCCTTTGGTTCCCACAGGGGCTGGTCTGGCCTTTATGTGGTCCTTGGTTTGTATAGCAGCTAGTAAAGATTGGAGGAAAAGGAATTTACCTATAGTCAGCAGACAGAATGAAGATGAGGTGGGGAAAGCTGAGGTACCTTTCAGGTTGGCATTGTAACAGCTGAGACCCATTTGGGATTTGTCCTAAACTCCATAATAACCCCAGACAAGGCACTAATTTGGAGCTGTGTTTTTTTTTCTGTCAATTTTTGACTGGCCATGTCTAGCCAAGGAAAAGGAGGTAGAGAAAGCACGCCAGGAGCAATTTGCTAAATAAGACAACTCAGCAAATAAGGCTGAGTCTGAAACTGAGGCACTCCTGAAATTGCAATTAGTGTGGAAATGAAGATCTTTTCAGAAGAGAAAATGGCCCTAGGGCTTATTCTCTATTGTCTCTCCCATGCCCTGGCACCCACCCAGACAGCCCTGAGACAGCCCCTTGGCTCACAGGCTTGTGAATACCCAGCCAGGATAAGGAGGGCAGTCACCACCTCACCTTCTTCTGAAGGGCCACAATGCCTATGGGAGCAAAACCCAGGCCCTGTGAGGCTGGCAGCAGGCAGGTCCTCAGCGTCTACAAACATTTGGGCACAATTTGTTGCAGACCCTTGAAGGCAAATCCTTTAGCCAAATCCAGGAGGGCTTAAAATGGTGTCTTCTGAGAGATTGTCTCTTCCTTCTCCAAGGAAAGACTGGAAACTACCTAAAAAGCCTCTGAACTAAACTACCTGAAGAATAGGTGTTCTCCGTGGGAAGGCTGGGAATATTCTCATTCACCAAATCATGAGATGAAGAACTGGGGAGGAGTCAGGAAAGTTCTGAAAAGCATAGGTCTGTCAGGAGGCAAGGAGTGTGGGGATGAAGGGGCCACTTATGTGTGTTTATGAGTCCGTGTGTTGGGGCAGAGGTCAGGAAGGCAGTGAAGCAAGTTTATACTAGCTGCAAAGTGTATTTTCAACCACTTTTGGTCCCATTTTATTGATTTTTATTAATGAAGTATCATTGTTTTATACTTTTTTTTTTCTTTCGTTTTTAAAGATTTATTTGTTTGTTTGTTTATTTTTTTATTTATTTATTCAAGCACTGGGTACAGTCAGAAGCGCGGGAGGGTGAGAGAATTCACCAGAGCCAGAGCGGGGAGCAGAGCAGGCAGAAGGACCGAAGTACACTGCTGAGGGGAGCAGCGGGCGGCAGGAGAGGTCTGCGCGCCATGTGGGACCCTCCTCTGGTGGCCAGGGAGCAGCCGGGGATCGAACTGGTGCTGCAGAGGCTGTGGGCAGCTTCGCAACCCAGCGCTCAACCGCTGCGCCACCGGGGAGGCCCAATGTTTTATACTTTTTTTGATATTTTGACAATATAGTATTCTCCCCCTTAGGTGTAGCTCTCCCTCTACCAAAGCACCCATAATAATAAGAGGCCAAGAGAAAGTCAAGGATGCTCTCCAAAGCCAGTTGTCATCAATGTCCGGACAGAAATCATCTCTTCTGGTGGGGCCACCATGGTTCCTAGTACAGGTGTGCTACCCTGCCCCCATCCCGTGGGGGTCTGCAAAGTCTCCTGGGTGGGACAGAAGGACTCCTGACCAGAGCGGGCTGTGGCCACAAAAGAAATAAATTCCCAGTGCTGGCCCAGTGGAGAGTTCCTGGTACTCTTCTAGCTCCAGGCGGCAGTTTGAGAAGTACACATCCCCTGTCCCCAGATTATGGGCTATCTAGGACTTGGAGTTAGACCTAGGATGAGTCCTGACTTCAGCTCTTTTGTCTGGGATGCTGGGTAGTTCTCTCTGAAATAAAATGTGGAAAATGAGTTTTAGCAAGATAGGGTCATAGTGAGGATTACTGAGATAAAACGAAACACAGCTCAGGTGCTCAGCCCTCTCAGAGTCTTTTTTTTTTTTTTTCTGTCAATCATCTTTAGAAGCTGAAGTGGGTAATTGTGCATTTGTAAAAGGAAGAACCCAAGATATCCAGAAACCTGTGCTCTGGCTCCAGCTCTGGCCGGTTCTGTGGTCTGGGGAAGGCCTTTCCTTCTCACAAATGCAGTCTCCTGCAGGTAAATAGAGGAACCTGAATCTGACACCTTCTTCCAGCCTGCAAGCTGCAACACTCCAAGATGTGTGGCTCTGGCAAGAGGCCATTTGTAATGGTTCCACTGAAGAGAGGAAACAGGAGGCAAGGCAATGTGTCACAAAGGGGGTTTTCAGCGGTTATCTCTAGAGTTGGTGGGTGTTTGTGGGTTAACATGCTGCATCTTTTGCGAAGCTATGCTAATATCCAAACTCTCAACCTTACTCACACATAGCAACCCAACCTCCACAAGGCCCTTGAAAGGCAGGGGTGTCCCTCACACGGTGGCAGACAGGTTAGTGATTTCTAGACATGACTGAGCTTCAGGTTCACCTAGGAATTTGGTAAAAGCACAGATTCTTAGGCCCACTGTATTCTGGTTGATTTAGAATCACTGTGGGTGAGCTCAGGAGTCCGTATTTTTTATCAATCACCCCAGGGGATACCAACACCCATATAAGCTCTTTCTTTTGAGACCCACCAGAGCAGGAAAGTGAAGGGTGTGAGATAGGACACATATTCATTCTCCTCCATGTCTGAGCAGCATGACAAAATGACCTCCTGAAGTGGGCATCTTTGACTAAAAATGTCCCCACACCCTACTAGACAGATGACAGCTGTGACCAGGCCCTGTACATTGGCTTCTCAGGTGCTTCGCTCAGTGGCTCGGGAGCAACTCCCTTGAGAGACACAGCACCCAGCAGTGTGAAAGAAGAGTAGAAAGGTGATAAGGGGCTATATTTTCACTAGGGCGGCCATAATACTTTAGCATAGGCTGGGTGATTTCAACAGCAGAAATCTCTTTTTTTCACAGTTCTGAGGCCAGACGCCCGGGATTAAAGTGTTGGTAGGTTTTGTGAATATTTATATGTTGATGGTCTTTCATTTCTGTCTGCATATTAACTTTTAATGTGCGATTTTAAGAGACTATTTTGACACCTGTAAAAAATCAAAATATTACTTTTTCAAGGCATTTCAAAAAATATATTTATATTACAGGCTGCAGGTACTTTATTCATATGTATATTTATATTAATATACAGAGGTTTCTTCTAAGGCTTCTTTTTTGGCTTGTAAATGGTCTCTTTCTCCTGGTGTTTTTTGCGTGGTCTTCCCTTTATATGTGCCTGTGTCCTAACCACTCCCTTGTCTTCTAAGAATACTAGTCATGATGGATTAGGGCCCAGTCCACTGATCTAATTTTAACTTAATTCCTTCTTTAAGGAGCCTATCTCCAAATATAGTCACATTCTGAGGTAATGAAGATTTTGAGTTCAAATTATGAATCTTTTTTTGAGGGGGGGGACACATTTCAGCCCCAAAGTAGGCGCACACTCGGGCGGTTTGTTGAAAAGGAAGGGACATGGGCCCAAAAGGTCAGGATGGGCAAAGCCGCCTTCCCTTCCTCTGTTGACCTAGGGCCCACCTGGCCTTCCTGTGCACCCACCTCTGAGGGCTTACCACCTCTATTTGGCAGGGCTCTTCCAAAGGGCTCTTCCTGGGCTCTCTGAAGTTCTCTCCTAGTTCACATCCCATTTCTTCTTCACAAAGATCTTATGAGGCAGGCAGGCATGTTCATCATCATTTTTCACAGAAACAAGTCTGGAGAAGTGCCATGGTTGACACCCACCAGAATAATGTTCTTTCCAAAGTCATTCTGGATACTGCTGTTCACACTATGTCCTTTTGGTGGGCTTCCAGGGCCTTAGGTTGTAATGTTATAAGGACAGAAAGCTAACAAGGTTCATGCCAAGAGATAATCCTTTTTTTTTTTTTTAAATGAACTCTCACACACTCTCGAGAGGTAGCCCTGAGAGGATAAAGCCTATTGTAAGCCTGAGTGTTTTCCCTTGTAAGCCTGAGTGTTATCCCCTAATTTGCCCTATTATAAGCATGGAACTTGCTTACTTCATTAAAATATATGTTCCATTTGCTTTGGTGTGAGTGGTGAGAAGCTGAAGAGTCGAGGGAATCAGGCCAGCTCATGTTAGGCTGGGCCCTAGGGCCAGGGCCTCTGGAGGTAGGCGGCTGATCTGGGAATTAGTGGAGGATGCGGAGGATTCAATTCATTTCATGAGCTATGAAGAAGGGAATCATTGTCCTAGGTCAAAACCAAATAGTCTTTGCTGTCACTTGACAAAATATAGAGGAAAACAGTTGTCACTAGATGATGATGTGAAGATATGAGCAGAGAAGCAGAGATGTGACATCAAGGTTCTCAGTGATGGCAGAAGAAGTGGGACAATAGACAGGGAGTTGGGGAGGGAGTATGGGTATCCCAAGTTGTGTGTGTGTGTGTGTGTGTGTGCACATACACACACGCACTGTTTCTTTGGACACATAGTGCATATTCTGATTTGCAGATCTTGTTCCCTGGAACCTGAGCCGGTGACAGTTCTGTGCTATTCACAGAATTCCCAGGGCTGGGGACTCTTAGAGGTCGCCATGCTGCAGGTGGCTGATGACCAATGGGAGGAAATGACAGAGTCACCAATAAGACAAGCTCATTGCCTACAAGTTCTTCTGAAGTGTTAGAGGAACAATAAGCAGCTAACTCTGAGCCCATGTATGACATCCTGAACAAACTCCATCCCCATCTCATACTGAAGAGCTCTCAGGTGCTGAAGAGATCTCAGGCACTCAGGATTACAGCTCCCAGCATGCCACAAACTTGATTTCTTGAATGGGGGCTGCTGGGAATGAGGTGTGGAGCTAACTAAGCAGTTACGCTTGGCTTATAACCGAACATGAGTACTTACTGTTTTTCTGGCTTCTACTTGTACTTGATACTTGGAGGAGATATGAAGGAAAGTCATGTAGAGAGACACTAGGAAGGGATTCTTGGAAGAGACACATTGGTGAGAGACATTCGGGGAGGCTGTTCCTGGTCCTTGGCTGAGCCATTAGCTTGGCAGCCATTAGCTTGATGTGGCGTAATTTGGATTTTGAATGTCTCTCTCTGTCCCAGCTCTGTGGGACCTGCCTAATCCCTTTCTTGTGGTTCCCCACAAGAAGTTACCTTAGACTTGTGGAAAGCTTTTGGCCCTTAGTAGCCCCACTTTGGGCCCAGCCTATTTTACTGGGTGTTTGTTCATGAAGGGATAGGTAATTTTTGGAGTTTTTGTTGAAACTATTACTTGAAATCCTTTCAAATGTGCAACCAGTTCTGTTAAAAATCTGTCACACTAAGAGTCTGCTTCCTTTGCTTTCATACATGCAAATGACGGTATCCCTTTTAGACCATGCACCCCTTAACAGTTTGGGGCCCCTCAGTACCCCTCAGTCCTGTGCTGACAGCGTTTCTGCATTACTGCGAGAGTGAGAAGGCAGGTTTAAGTCCATTCTGCAAAAAACAGAAACCAGAAGCAAGTGGGCAGACTGATTACATGCCACCACACCATAGGCAGTGGTGGGTGGCAGTCAGGGGCTCTCAAGTGGAGAGTGGCCATCCTGACACTTAGCTGTTGCACAGACTGACAGATTTGCAAAAAGGAGCATTCATGGACTGTTTAGGCTAATCGGAGAGTGCTTCCTTATATATGGTCTGTCAGGTCACAGGGGATAAGGTTCTTGAGGCGACTAGACAAGGAGGTCTTGTTTGGTGCCATCTCACTTCAAGATCATGGCTCCATGCCCTGAGCACAGTCATCAGTATTTCTGAAGAAAAAAAAAAACCCTGTTGCAGGAGAGACTTGGGCAACCCAAAGTCTGGGCCCCTCAGTCATTTTGTAAATGGTTCTCTCAAAAGAACCCAAGGGCAGGTTGCTCATTTGTTTGTTTGTTTTTTTAATCCTTATGCTAATCAGGGCATAATGACAGCTTCTTTCTTGCTTCCAACCAGGCTCATAGAACTAGCTTTGGATTCTTGAACTTGCTATCACCCAACCTGAAATCCCCCAGCAAGTAGGATTAAAATCCCCCTCTGCCCCAACTGAGTCCTGGAGCTTTGGCCAAAAGAAGAGAAAAAGAGAAAAGCTGACAGGGTGGAGGGGCTGCTTCTTGGGGAGCTTGCCAGAGAGGCTCCAGATTTAGTGAGAAGTCCCTCATCTGTCACTTCTGTCCCCAAGGGGCCAGTGCCTGAAGTGGTGTGGGCAATTGGCCTACAGGTTCCAGCCTAGAAATCCTCCTGGCATCTGACAGGGGTGTCAGATCAGTCCAGGGAATAAGGAGGGGTGCTGCACTGACCTGGCTGGGGTGGGGGAGCAGCACGTTAGGGAAAAGCCCTGAATGGGGGGCAGCAGGGGAGCCTCAGCAGGCTGGGACAGCCGCCAGCAGACAGCTTTGTTTTGCTGTGGCAGTTGCTTGTGATACTTCTCTTTCCTGAGACGCCAGCTGAGGGGAGCAGGGGAGGGGGGCAGAGGCAGGAATGAAAGGGAAAGGCTGCAGACACAGTAGAGAGAGGGATCCACATTTGGCACAGCTGCGGGGCAGGGCCTGCCTTGCCACCCGCCCCCTCAGATCTCCTCCATCCACCCTTCAGATCTCATGGCCAGGGGAGCAGATGTCTTGCTTGAGAGACCCCCCTATCAAGAACTCCCCTCACCCTCTCCTCCTCCCTGAAGCATGGCAGGGCTGGCTGCCAGTCTGAGAAATGGCCTGCCAGCTGTTGGCTCCCTCGGGGCACTGGCCCTGACTCTGCTTTGTGTGTGCCAGGAGGCAGGTGCTGTGGAGGGGGTGTAGCTCCCTGCAGCTTGAGGCCCAGGGGCTGGAGTGTATAGGCCAGGGGCAGAGGGGCTGTTGGTGATAAAGGGACAACAGATTGTTGAGACGAAGGGCAGCTGCCTCTTTAGGATTCAGGTCTGGGGAGGTAAAGGAGGATCCCCCATGAGCAACAGCAACAACTTGGACAAAATATTGGACAGACAAGGCAACAGTCTTGGACTAAATCTGAGATTCCACATTATTCCACTTCCAATTTCAAAAAAGCCTTCAATCATGGTTTCCTTTCCAGGTTTCAGACTTTCCCAGGGCAACTAACAAGAGGAATTTGTAAGTGCCTGGAGACATTTCTTAGGCTGGTCTGGCAAAACCTGCTTTGAAGTGAACCCTGAATTCTGCTGGGAACCCCAAGAGAGACGGCTCTGCCGGCAGGACTCCTCCAGGCTTTAGGCCTCTTGTGGGCTGGGGACACTTGTTATCCACCTGACCTGCCTTAGAATCCCCTCAGACACCTTCCTGATGGTGGGGAGAGCAGCTGCCGGCTGTGAGGTCACCATGGTGACCGGTGACAGCTGGCAGTCCCACCTCCATCCCCCAGCCTGCCAGGCTTGCTCCCAGGCCCCCTGGCCCCCTCGGAGCCCCAGGACTGTAAGGCCTGCCCACTGGCTGCCTTGGGGAGCTTCCTTTTAGTGACAGATTTCACTCTGGCAGCCCTAAGCTGAGGCAAATGGGCATAAAAGTGTCCCTGGAGGAAAACTCAAAGGCATTACAAATGTAAAGTATTGCTATTGTTATTAATAAAACTGAACTCATTACTCAGGAGATAATGAAAATCATGATGTTAAAAGAACTGAGCCTAGTCGAATATCCTAATTCTCCTCTTGAGTGTCCCCAGACCTGTGACTCACTCATTTATCTAATCTTTCTGGTGTCCGGCTGAAATCTTTGTTTTATTTTAAGGCCAATTATTGATATTTTCATTTTTATCGTAAGTGAAGAAAGACTGATAAACTCCAATCTCAAAAATCCTCAGTTATTTCAAGTCTTTTTTTTAAGCTAAGCAACCTTAATTAATACGACTAGTGCTTTTTAATAACGAACATCTTTTTTCTTTCAGAATGACATTGTCATATCTGCTCAATAAATTAACATCAAATGGCTCATGTCACTCTTCAAGTCCACTTGCCAATAAAGAAGGAAAAGAAGTGAGGATTAGAGGAAGGCTAGGGGAATCATCTTGCAACTATCAAGAGGACCAACACCCAAATTTCAAAGTGTGTTACTTTTGTGCTTTTTGAGAGCCTATTTTCTATATCTCTGATCACCTCTAGTGCTCTTTTCTGAATCCCTTCTAGTTTTCAATGTCTTTTTTATGGGTGTTAATCACAATTACTCATCATTCTGATCAGTGTTCAAGGGAGTAACAATATATCATATAAGAATTACTTTCCATTCTCTGCAAGTCATATGAGTATCCTTTATTAGAACCGTGGCTAACTCTTTTTTTTTGCTTCTAATAACACTAACTTGTTATTTCACATTCAGCCTGTGGTTAGCTAAGACTCCAGGATTTTTTTTTTCCTGTCTTCTATTCTTGTGCTTAGCTATCAAGTATTTTTGTATTACTTTGAACTCCACCGTTTCATTGAAATTTTTTTTGTGTGAAATCACAGTAAACACACACAAAATGTACATATTAGAAGTGTACAACTTGACACATTTTCATAAACAAAAAGGGCCCATCCAAACGGCATCCAGATTAAGCAACATTCCAGTATCAGTAACACAGAAGCCCTTCCTTGTCCCCGACCCCCTACGCACCACTATCTAGATTACTAATTTTGTAGGTTAATTTAGCCAGTTTTTATTCCTTACAAAATGTCATAGCCTGGTCTGTGCTGTCATGTTTCGGTTTTATTCACATTGCCCTTCATTTTTCCTCTCCTTTATTAAACCTTCCTCATTAGTAGGCCTGCGAACCAAGGTATTTCAGTCTAGGACCTGTCAGTGTTGACAATGACTAAGCGACATAGTCCCAACGACATGCCAGATATCTGACTAGAATTTTACTTGAACCATGTAATGGTTACTTTGTCCCTTTTATTCTTCAAAAGTCACCATCTCCTCCCCAGGTTAATTTATATTCATATCAGGGTAAGAAGACATTGTGTGTGTGTGTGTGTGTGTGTGTGTACCTTTAACTCTATGAGGAATCATTTTTGCTACCATGAGTTAAATGACTGTGGAATTGTGGTTATGAATAGGGAGAATACCTTTTTTTTTTTTTTTTAAAGATTTATTTACTTATTTTATACAAGAAGCGGAGTGCAGGCCAGATGCACGGGAGGGCGAGAGGATTCACCAGAGACAGAGCGGGGAACAGAACAGGCAGACTGATGAAATACACTGCTGAGGGGAGCAGCGGGCGAGATAGGAGAGTTCTGCTGTGCCATATGGGACCCTTGTTGGCAGGCCAGGGTCGAAACCGCGCTGCAGAGGCTGCGGACAGCTTCACAGCGCAGCACTCAACCGCCTGCACCACCAGGGGAGGCCCAGAGAACACCTTTAATCCAAGTGTTCAATTCAGTGTTTAACCTCTAGTTGTGGTTTGTGCAGTTGATCGGGCAAGTATTGGAGGCAGGAAGAGGAGTGCTGATGGCTCCCAGGAGCACTTCCCAGCCTTTTCACAACACGGCACCATAGAAAATGGTAATTTTTATGTGACAAACTGGGGTAAATGGAGAAAATATTTTTGAAGTACTGGATGATAAAACATAAGACTGTTTTTCATCATTCAGATATGGACAACAATTATGTGTATGTTAAAATATAAACAGATATAATACATTATAGGTATTTATGTATTTATATAATATATATTTACATTTAAGGACTCTAACAACACTTCCTTTTCTTTGTGTCATCTATTATGTTGATTTTTATGTGAGTGATGGTGTGAGTAAAATTTCAAATCCAAAGTAATTTATTTCATATCAACAATTTCAGAATGGAGAAGTTCTAATTTGCAGAAAAAATATGCACTGGTAGAGCAGTGCTTCATCAGATAGCTCAGACAGCACTAAAGCTCATATCATATCATATCATTCAAAGTTAAAACTGAAATTTTAAAATATATGTGAAGCTAGAGATTGACCTTCTTTGGGTTGCGGGCCATGCTATTGGGGCTCATGGAACAGAGTCCCAGCATCTCACCATGCTTGTCCGCGTACAGCAGCTGCAGACGTGTGGCTGGTTGCCCAAGTCCATGGCCAGGTTGTGGAGGCAGAGCCACAGGTGTGGGCTTGTTCATTGTGCTCATAAGCATGCTGCCTGTAGACAGGGGACAGGCCATCAGACCCCACCTTCCTGAAGGCCCTCTATGGAGCCTTAGGTGAGGCTACATCAGTGCCAGGTCCTGCTCTGCTGCCCCTGAAGGATAAGGAGACCATCTTCCAGTGCAAGACCATCTTCTGGAGCTCATTTGCATTATTCTGACTTGCTCAGCATTTGGGACATTGTTTTTATGATGTTTTAGTAATTGAGCCTAATGTTTTAGAATCCTTGTCCTTGCAGTTTACTCTAACAAAGTAGCATAGAATAGGTGGCTTATAAACAACAGAAATTTATTTTTCACAGTTCTGGAGTTGGAAGTCCAGGTGCCAGGGTGTTTGGCTTCTGGCGAGAGTCCTCTTTCAGGTTGCAGATTGCCGACTTCTGTGTCTTTATGTGGTAGAAGAGAGGCAGGAATTCTCTGGGGTCCCTTTATATGCACACTAATCCCATTTTTTAGGGTTCTACATTCTTCACAACCTACCTTCCAAAGGCCCTGTCTCCAAGCATGATCACATTGGGGCGGGGGATATTGATATATGAATTTTGGGGAGGGAATGCAAACTTTCTGTCCATTGCAACTCTCTAGTATGTAAGCTGGTGTCTGAGCCAGTTGAGACTAGGAAAGCCTTGTTGAAAAACTTCCTGAGGTTGGTGAAAGGTGTGTGTTGAAAACCTTTACAGATTCTACAGACAGATGAGTCGTGGATTCAAAATTATGAATCAACTCAGAACAGAGGATTGTTACTAGGCTGCGAGAAAAGATCCATCCTAAATACAGCCTGACTAAACCTGGTTGGACCAGAGAGGTTAGGCAATTCACATGGAATAATTAGTAAAGAGACCATTTATAAGAGTCTGAACAGGATTAAGGGGCAGGTTAATGAAGCACTTTAGGATAGGATACCACTAACCCCTCCCCCTACATTTGAAGAGGAGAAACAGAAGAGGTTGGGCACCAGAACCTGGGGGCTAAGCTGTGTGGCTGAGGAATATGGACACGGACAACCTGTGATGTGTTGGAAAAATGCTAATGAAAGTTGCTGTTTGCCCTCCTCATCCTTCTGCCTCCAGCCTCCTACCAGAGCCTCTCGCCGGCCAAGTCCAAGTGGATGCAGTAGACAAAGAAGCCCATCAATGGGGTTTGTAGAGACCAGTTTCTGGTGCACAGAACACACTTGGCCTCTATTGGACCCCTCTATGTTGCAATTCTTTGTTTTCCATTAAGAGAGACTAATTCCATTGCAGCCGTTCCCATTGTCATTTCCTGCTTACAGGAAATAGCCAAGAAGAGCTCTTCAAGGAGGCCTGTGAACACTACAATGGAATTCTTCCAACCTTGTGAAAAGAGGATATTTTAGTTCTCCTGGGAAGTGTGGTTAAGGTGTGGCTAAGCATGTTGAACAGAATAGATCCCTTCTAATATGCCTAATTTTCCAGACTTCAGTTTTCTTTTCTTCAGAATGATAGAAAAATCCTTATTAACTGCCAGCCTCTGTTGAGTCCAGGCTTCTGAACCAACACAGCCATGAATGCCACTCCCAGGTGCTCAAGGCAGCACATTAAATATTGAAGTCTTGAGTCAATATGTATCATTAAATTCTCCTCAACAGAGTTTTATGTCACTCTTCTCCTTCCAGTGCCCTTAGAACTCCCCCCTAAATATGCTCTGAAGATTTCTGTTGGTTTTCCTCAAATTTTTTGATGCACAGGCCCTCCCTGTACCAGACTTTGTCCTTCTCTATCTGGGCTATGGTGGCATATAACTTTCATTATGGCATGGAGACAATAAGGGTGTGGAAAGGGGTCCTGAGGTGACTTGACAGCCACATTTGTATCTGTTTAAATCTCCCAATCTATGAATCAGTGTTCCACCTTTTGCAACCAGTGCAAAGGATAAGAAGTTGGTAGAGTTGAAAATTTGATTGACTCTGCATGTCTCCCACCTGTCTCATCAGTCATTGACATATCTGCCCAATAGAAGAGCTGCAATTCCCTCAGTGCTTCATGGCTTCCCCCTGGGTTCTGAGTTGGACATTCAGGACATTGATTCTGTGTGGAAGTAGGTGTAGCTGTAGATATAAAATTCTTCTCTGTATGTGTCAGAAAAGTTATCTCACTCCACAGGCCTGTCATTACCATTGTCAACAAAACCCAGCCACCAGGGCCTCCCCTGGTGGCGCAGGCAGTTGAGCTCCATGCTGTGAGGCTGTCCACAGCCTCTGCAGCACTGGTTCAATCCCGGCTGGCCAGCGAGGGTCCCACATGGCGCATCAGACTTATCCTGTCTCACTCACTGCTCCACTCAGCAGTGTATTTCGTCAGCCTGCCTGTTCTGTTCCCTGCTCTGTCTCTGGCGAATCCTCTTGCACTCCTGCACATCTGGCCTGTACCCCAGTTCTTGTATAAATAAATAAACAAATATTTAAAAAAAAAAACCTCAGCCATCAGATCTTCCAACATCTTGCCTTCCATCTATGTCCTTCCAACGCCACTGTTACCAGGGCAAAGGGTCAAAAACTATCAAGGGTCAGAACTTCTCTCACTGGCTTATGGGATCAGCCACCTGTCACCACCAAAGTGAATCAAAGGGCCTCTGGAGCAGCAAAAGAGAAGTAAAGCATTAATTTTAACCAACATGGGAGAAAGAGGAAGAATATGCAGTTACCCATCAATATGGTGGAGTTGCCACTACAGGGCATGGCAGTGTGGCAGCTCTGCTGTTGCTCAGTTCAGGGATTCCCCCAACCTTGGGGGGCTGTGAAGGAGGTGGTGGCAGGGGCTGCAATATTGTCAGGCCCTCACTGTAGTGGGAACTGAACCAAGAATAGTGACGTGACCCCTGCCTTAAAAGTCACTTTACAACATTCCTCAGGGTCATGATGATGGTCGCCTAATGCCTGCTCTGCTGAAATATTTCTTTTCCTTCTGAAGATGCTGATAACATTAGTGCATGATGAACACTTTTGGGTTGTTTTCATTGATAACACAGAAGAAGGAATGTATTCCAGAAACACATCAACAGCTTGTGATTGACTGCCTTAGAGGATACAGCACTCGCTTAACCCCCCAACCCACGAATGAAGAAACTCCCCACTCCTGCACATCCTCTCATTCCTTTCTTTCCTGTAGAATCTTCCTTCACTCACCACTCTGGGAGATACTCTTTCCTTGAGCACTGATTCTGCCCTTCTGATGCCGTGCCACAAAAGCATTTCCTTTATGGAAACA